TTTCATTCTTGCCAGAGCTGCTGGAACTCCCTGGCTAAAATGTATGTGCAAAGTTGGAAGGAGACACCCGCAAAATTGAGTGGGATTGGACACATGCCTTCCCCTCCTCTGGGCTTTCTGGGTCTCTTGGAGCAAACAGGAATCCCGCCATCTGCCTGGCAACCTCCTGGGGTTGGAGGGAGGGAGACCCTAGGGCAGTGGTCGGCAAACTCATTAGTCAACAGAGCCAAATATCAACAGTACAACCATTGAAATTTCTTTTGAGAGCCAAATTTTTTAAACTTTAACTATATAGGTAGGTACACTTAATTAGGGTACTCCTAAGGCTTAAGAAGAGCCACACTCAAGGGGCCAAAGAGCTGACCCCTGCCCTAGGGTAAGTCTAAACCTCTCAAATCCTGGTCCTGGACCACAGCAGGGGCATTACCTGAGGAGCGGTTAGAAATGCAAATGGTGAGTCCCGCCCCAGGCTTACTGAAAGAGCAATGTGTGTTTCAACAAACCTGTCTGGGGTTCTGGTGCAGCCAAAGTTTGAGACCCATCACCTTATATAAAGCACTGTGCCCACTTTTTAAAATTAGCACACTTTTCTCTCCAGCGAGGAGTCCCTGACTCCCTCCCTACTGTCTGTGCCCAGGCAGAAATGCTGTCAAAAGTGCAAACAAGCCCGGTCTCTGGAACTGGGCGAGGCCTGGCTCTGTGGACGTTGTTTGCACACTGACTAAGGTCTGACAGTCTGCCAGACAGACTGCAGGTACTGCCAAACCTTCCTGTTGGGAGTGACACCTTAAATAAAGGCCTTCAGCTACTTGGTTTTCATAAGCCAGTTTATTGTATTCAAAATGCTTTTGTGGGGCGCGGCGGTGGTGGCGGGGGTTGGGTGTACCCAGTACAGCTTCACTCAGGGCAGAATCACGAGGCACCTCTACCTGGGAATGTTTAAAGGGACCAAAGTTTCTAGAACATTCAATAGATCTGCTCTTGGAGAAATATGCTCTGTACATCAGTACACACACGAGGAAAAACAGAGATCAACATACCAGGTAATAGCTTGGTAATGATCATCACTGACAAAATGCTGTTGCCTTTGCTCATTTATTTGTAAAAATTAACAAGTGAAACATGTTGGGGCTAAAATGAGCAATCTGCGATGTTCCCAGGGGTGGTGTCCAATTTAACTTTCGGAGCCCCAGAAAGTGTCCTGGGTCTTTCCTCTGGCGTGTGTTCTGGGGCATATAGTCCTGTTTTCACAGACGATGGCAGAGGGCAGCGCATGCAGCATTTCTGGGTTCGGCCAGACAGATTGGGAATTCAAGAGCGTGGATTCTCCCTCATTCCCATCCATTGTCTAGTCCTCCATGCTCAATAAAGAGCTTGGAAAGTCAGATCAATACCAGGTGGAAACACAGAAGCCAACATGAAAGATAACTTTTTCTCCTGGACTGGACCAGGCTTGCAGATGGCTTGATCAACTCATTGTAAGTCAGATCACCTACAATAGGACACAGGGGTGATTTGGTAGGTTGTTAATGAATATTAGCTGATCTGTTTTAATAAAGGGGCATCCCACTGATTAGGTCAGTTTTAAAAGCATCCACTGAATTATTGTGAGAACATATTTTATCACATTCCATATATGAGGCATTATTGGAATACTGGTAGAACGGACATTTTTCAGTGGTGGTAGTCAGTGGGCTTGAATTATAAAAGACAACACAAGATGTCTGGCCAGGAAATGTAGCCCTATGTTCCCTCTGTTGATTTAAGAATTCAGAGTCTAATATAGGTACCCCTATGTTCACTGCAGCATAATTTACCATAGCCAAGGTATGGAAGCAACCCAGGAACTCATCAATACACGAGGGAATAAAAAAAAGTGTTGAAACATATATATAGTGGAATATTACTCGGCCAAAAATAAGAACAAAATCTTATCATTTATGACAACATAAATTGTGATTGACCTAGAGGGCATTACACTAGTGAAATAAGTCAGTCAGAGAAAAACAAACACCATATGATTTCACTTATATGTGGAATCTAAAGAACAAAATAAATGAACAAACGAAGGAGAAACAGACTCATAAAGAACAGACTGATGGTTGACAGAGAGCAGGGGGCTGCGGGGGGGGGGGGCGGGGGGGGGGCCCTGGGTGAAAAAGGTGAAGGGATTAAGAAGTACAAATTGGTAGTTACACAGTAGTCACCGAGATGTAGATTACAGCATAGGGAATACAGTCAATAATATTGTAATAACTATGATGCCAGGTGGATACTGGAACTATCAGGGGAACACTTTTTAAAGTATATGATTGCCTAATCTCTATGCTGTACACCTGAAACTAATACAAAATAATATTGAATATAAACTGTAATTAAAAAATCAAATAATTAAAAAAAGAATTCCAAGTCTTGAGGATGGCACACAGCATACCAAGATGTTTATTTACCTCCCAAGAACCCCTGGCGTGCTCTGTCACTGAATGTTGGGGAATCCTTTGCCCTCCAGCGTCAGGTGTGGGGGACTGCTTTCCAGGTGTGGACATTGCCCAAGATGGGCAGTCAGGTCTTTCTCTAGGGGATTTAGGTTTGAGCAAAGCTAGTCAGTGTAGGAACCGAGGTTGTATAAACTCAAGTTTTATGGGAAACCTTAAGCTGTGAGAAGGTAAGAAGCAAATATGCGGGGAGAGACGCATAGAGGACACTGGGCTTGGAGCGATGAGCATCCCTGACCGATCACCTTTCAGCGGCAGGCTCCGTTTCCTCATGAGGCCCGGGGGTACTGCTGGGTTTCTGGAGAAAGCATCACACCTTTATATAATTTTCCATTTTATCTCTGCAATCAAACTAGCTCAAGTAGCATTTTATTCCTTGCCACCCTCTTGCTTAGACTGAGATGAGTGGGGAGGGGCGGGGTTCGGTCTAACTCTACAAGCTGACAGTGTTGCCCTGCATTTTCAAATGGAAGGAAGTCCAGGGAGCCTCTGGATTGTTCCATGTGGAGTATGCCAGGCTAGATAACATACTGATTGCTGTACATTCATGTCATGTGTTGCTATTCGGGGGCAAATGCTCTGCCTACGCTCTCACTGCATTGCCCCGATCTTCCAATGAGGCTTCTGCGTGGTTAATGTAACTTGCTGAGGACACAGGCATGGAGCATGTTCGAGCCGGGCTGGGGTGCGGGTCTCCCTGGCCATGACGCAGACGGTGCAGGAAGACTCCAATCTGGGCCAGCTGTGGACAGTGGCAGAGAGGGCCTGGCTCAGGCGCTCGATCAGAAGGGCTCTCAGGGATGACTTTGTTCTGGGCAGTGAAGAGGGGGCTGTGTGAATAATGAGGGGGGCACAGCTCAAGTGAGTTCACTATCAAGAACCCACAGCGATTCACTCGATGTCCGCATTTGTCCCTCCCGTTCTGGAACCATCCTGGGTGTTGTGAGAACTGCCAAGTGAGGTTGCAACAAGGCCTTTCTACCAGCAATTATTTGGCTTGGGAGGCAAAGCCCTTCTCCAAGACGCGGAGACGGGGTCTGCTTTTCATACCTGGCACTTACCTGAGGAGCCATATGGTGCCACTCCTCTGAGGGGCTCAGCACCAGCTTCTAATTCCAAACGAACTCGTCATCTGGCCTTTTATTTCTTCTCTGGAGAGTGCCGGGAACCTGTGGGCGGCACAGAACCTGGAGCGGTCCTTCCCTCCCAGGAGGTGGCTCCCCGCCAGGTGCCTGCGGGAGCCTTGCAGAGGCCTGGCCTCCCCGAGCCAGCTGGTCTAGGACAAGACATCTGTTTACGGTTGCCTTTGGGATTTGATTAAGAGGATGATGTGCACATGATGGTGAATGGTTGCGATTATTTGTTAGGAAAATAAAGATGGCTTTCACATTTTTTAAGGCCTTGTCATTGCAAAGCCTTTCCTCCCCTCTCTTCTACTGCTTACGACTTCCTTTCTGGAGATCGGAGTCGACAGAGCTGTCTTAACTCTTCGTCCCAGCATTCCCAAAACAGTGTGCATATCCAAGACTCCCTAAACTCGGGGGTTCGACCAAGTTTGTGGACTGTGACGAGCATGAGGAACTTAGAGCCCCAAGTCTTCTTTCTTCCCTGCTATTGGATGAATGCCTTGTTTCTCAAGAGCTGATCATGATGCTCCTAAGAGATGGCTGGAAAGTATTTTCCATGATGTCATCTGAGCGTGCGTGGTTTTTTGTTTGTTTGTTTGTTTGTTTGTTTGTTTTTGTCTCTCCTATATAATAGCATACCACCGGTTTGGGTCAGTTTTTCCTTTCCCTAGTTTTGCATGCAGCTGGATGACAGAATGTTTTCTTTTCTCAGACAAAAATAGGTGCTTGGTGCTTCCCAAAGTCATCGTTAGGGTTAACCTGGCTTAGAAAGTGCACGAATCTGCCCTGTCATCAGCAGGAGCGTTCTAGGATGGACAGAAATACTCCTATTACTGACGATTTTTCACTACACGCTCTGTATCCAGATTCAGGGACTCTTTCTGACAGATGGGAGCTGCTGCCTGTCCTCTCACAGGGCTCAGGGCCTGGAGGGCTTTGCACGTAGGAGGCGGCTGAGGGATGTGAGTGCCAGAAGCGGGCTCTGACTCCAGCGCTGCCAGGACAGGCACTGGCAGATCCCGCTGGCTCCGGAGGCATGTTACACGCTGGAGACGAGCAGGGAAAATGGTAAAGTCAGCTCCGGAGCCGGAGCCGGAGAAAGCCCTAGCCTCCGGGTTCGCCAGCATGGTTGCCGATGTCTCTTCTTCCAGGAGAGTTCGCTGGCTTTTGTCTTTCCCTTGGAGAGAGAGGGAAAGCCCCCAAGAGCTGGGGGATTTGCTGGGCTCTTTCCTGAAGAAGGAGTTTCTCTGCTGGCAGTGAGAAACGCATGCCGCTGTGCTCCTCGCAGGGTGGGACGGCGGGACGTAGCCTGTGTCCTGCTGTGGGAATCATCTCAGACAGCGGAACGGCCGGTCACCTGTGCGCTTTTCACCCTCAGGTTCACCAGTACTACAGCTGTCTCCCAGAAGAGAAGGTTCCTTATGTCAACAGTCCCGGGGAGAAGCTGCGAATCAAGCAGCTATTACACCAGCTGCCGCCGCATGACAATGAGGTAAGGGGCTGGGGGGCCTTAGGGAGCCTTCCTTAGAACCTTCCCCGAATACCTACCTACCTTTCCACAGTTGGAATGCTGTGATCAAGATCTCCAAAGAAACATTCTGGCCGTTTAGTTTAGGTTTTAGCTTCCTTAATTAGAGCCAAACACAGCTCTCAGACACCTTCTGGAGAGCATTACCAAAAAGCAAAGTCTCAGTATGGGCTGGATTCGCCTGGCACTACTAGCGCTCTGAGGTTAACCAGGGAGCACGAACATTTGAAGGCAGATTTCAGGCTTTCTTAGTTGAAGAAGAATGGGCAAGGCTGGTTTCCTGAGCATCTGGGACGGTTGAGATTCCCTGGGCAGTTCAAACCCTGCAAAGACTTTGTGACTCTCTTGAATTTTCAGCCTCATCTCACGTTAAATGAGTGCGCACATTTCCCACGCTCCACGGCAGCTGACGTTATGTGCTCAGATGTGCAGCTCTGAAAATCTGTGTTTTTGTCGTTTAAAGTCCAACTTGCTGAGGTCACCCTTTGCACCCTTGAAAGTCTGGCTTGCAGGCTGTCCTGTTCTCTGAACCCCCACCCACAGCGCTGTGAGCAGGCATTTATCTTGGGAGATAAATTGATCCTAAAGGGACATTTGTAAATATACTTTTAAAAGCTCCTCATGCTTGAGGGGTTTAGATTTGTAAACTAACCATTAATTGTTAAGTATCGGGTTTGTAAAAGTTGTAATCCCATAGAATTGAATTGTCCACTGAACTGGATTACATTTTAAACAGAAACACGATTTTCGATTGAAAAGAGAGGTAACCCCTTGGTGAGACACCAGCTACCCACTGTCCCACCCGCAAGCTGGATCCCAGGGAAATGACTGAGTGCTTTCTAGTCTTTACCGCCCCACATCTGAAAGAAAAGGGTAAATCAGGAGCCACGAAAGTGCATTTGAATAAGTGATAAGTGGAGCAAAAGCTTACACGCTGAGGCAGCTCCTAGAAAGAGGGCCGTGATTCCCTTCCCTAGTGTTCATTTCAGACTTCGTTTAAAAAGTGTATAAATAATGCTTCCTCTTTAAAGCCGAAAGCAACCCTTGTAACCTGACGCCCAGTTAACTAACTTGGAAGTGAAAATGCGGGTTTTTACAAGCAGGAGGGGTGTGCCTGTCTTTAAAAGCTTGTCCATAAAGTGTCCGTAACCATATAGTCCGGGCTGCTGGGGGCCCTGGGTTCTCTCCCGGAGAGAAGCATCCGCATGAAGACGGTTTCTTTTTCTGTTAACTTTTTACGTCACAGAGGGACCTGATCCGCTCTGCTCTGCTTTTAATGGTTTATTCTGTGTAAGGTTAACTGTGGTTTCATGAAAAGAGACCTTTCAAATCCCTCCTTCCTGCTGGTGAGAATTCCTTCCATGGGACCCGGAGGCAGTTTCACCCATTTAGACGTGGCCCTGTGGGGAACAAAGGGTGATCCTAACGTAAACATTTGATCATTCTTTTTTTCACCCAGAGAAGACAGTTTTGATATCTGCAGCCGCCCTGGTTTTTAAATTAGGACGCACCAGCCTAGTTCAAAGGCCCCCTGGAGCCGTCTGGCTGACAGGCATCTGAGCATCTCAGTTAACCTTCTGATGCTCAGATTATTCTGAAGTGAGGCAGGCAGTGGGGTTAGGGCACTGTTTGCCAAAGTGTGGTGGGCACGGGACTTGAGGTGGGACACGGGCAAGGCAGTGTGTAAAACTGAACCATGTAATGAGAGAGCACTTCCTCGTAAGTTGTATTTCATTCCTCGTGGATAGTGAAGGGAGAGACAGTTCAGGTGGGGCAGCAGCTGTAGCTTGGAAGCTGCAGCATTAAGAATCCGCATTTCGGGACCTCCCACAGCCAAAGGTATCCAGGTAGAATCTAACCATGTGGTTTCGTTCTCACTCTATTTAGTTTATGTTCGCCCTCTGATTTTTACAGGGGAATTACTGGGTTTCCAAAGTCCCCTTTCCCTCAGTCCAGCCCTGGAAGAAGTGTAGGTGGGGCTTCAATAGAGCTAAAACCAGAGCCAGTGTCTAGCTTTCCTTCCATGTTGAAGCCGGGTCCACTTCAGCATCAGGCCAGCTGCCGTCCATTAGCCCATTGTGTGTGGGGAGCGCATGGCCGTGGGCCATGTAGCGGGATGCAGGGGAGCCCCACAAGCCAGGAGCCAACCAAACACACCAAGAGCTAGAGAAAACAAGAGAGCCAAGAGGAATGAAGAGAGCGAACTCCTTTGTTCAGGGACCAAATATCCCAAAAGTCACGCTTTTGTGGTGGCTATGCCTACCCTGGCCAGCGACCTGCTCCCAGGTGTGACTAACAGAAAAGCATCTGCAGCAGTCACCCCCCAATTTTACTGAGCATTTGCCTGTCACCCCTTTGCTGGACCACTGGGGAGTGTAAAGTTTTAGCTTCTGGCGAAACTGCCCAAAAGACATGCCCATAATATTTGGCCTTCCCTTTGCTCCTCTCCTGTTATTAATAACTAGAGGCCCGTTGCAGGAAGATTCCTGCAAGAATAGGGCTTCCTGCGGCCAGAGCGAAGCAGAGAAGGGACCAAAGCCCACCGCTTGCTTCCCTCCCGCCTCCGCCGTCCCGCTTGCTTCTCCATAGCTTTGCTCCCTTCTGCAGCACCTGGCTTCTACTTTGTTTTCCATCTTCGCTCCACACCTGTGTATGCAAATTAACCGCCATCTTTGTTGGGTTACTTTGCATACTCATCAGATTGGCTGGTGGGCATAGCGGAGTGATGCCAATTTGCATGTTTCTCTTTTAGTAGTGTAGATTTTCCTATTATTAATCACAACAGTACCATTAAGTAGGTAATAGTTCAAGACTCTGACAAAATTCTCAAGGTGTGCAGACGTAAGGGAAATACTGGATCGAATGTTTTTGATGTCCCTCCCTTGTGTGTCTGTGTCTGACAAGAAGGATCATAGCTTAATGCAAGTTGATGCATTAACCAAAGCCCAGCAGGTGGCTTTTTCCTCCGACTCACAGAGAAGCAGGCAGGGACTCTTATAAAGCAACACAGATGCTTTTGAGCTAACTCTTCAGTCTCAAGCCTTTGGTTCCCCATTTTCCCAACAATGAGTTGAGAGAAGAGAAGCTATGAACCCACCGACAATGGTTCTGGCTCGCTGGCCGGGGGCCGTCATTGGTGTCAAGGACCACTTACCTGGGCACCGGCCATGAAAGTATCAGGACCCCACAATCAGTTTGAAGATGCAAATCCATTTGAAAGAAGGAGAAAGTCCCAGATCTGGGAGTGGGGGCTCAGTGTGGGGAGCAGTCAGGCAGTGAGGATGAGGAACAGCTACGGACCTTCATCCTGCCCGAGTCTTGGGCTCCAGAGTTTGGTGCCTTTAGTCAGCTCCTTTAGGTAGAGACTCATTTCAGATGTCCCCAAGCCTGGCCGTGTTCAAGTCCAGGCCAGGACCCTAACACCAAACAGGAGCGCGTTTGCTGAGAAAACTGAGGCCTGAGCTTTGGAATCCTAAGGGGACGAGCGAAGAGTGACTCTTCCCTGCCACCTCTGTGTCCCTGCAGGTCCGATACTGCAACTCCCTGGATGAGGAGGAGAAGCGGGAGCTGAAGCTCTTCAGCAGCCAGAGGAAGCGTGAGAACTTGGGCCGAGGGAATGTCAGGCCCTTCCCAGTCACCATGACGGGAGCCATTTGCGAACAGGTGAGCATGGAGGTGGACTGCCCGGCTGGCTTTCCCCGGCCTCGCCCTTCACGCTCACTTTCTGAGTGCCTGCTTGGGCCAGCCGCTGTTCTGGGCAGGGGGATACAGCAGTGAACAAACGTTTAAAAGCTTCATCTTGCCCTTGTGAGGAGTTATGTTCTAGGGGGGAAAGTCAGACAATAACATAAATAAGCAAGATAGAAAAAAATACAGCAGGGAAGGGGTTAGGAAATGCCGGGAGTGGGGGTGGGGTTGCCATTCTCATAAAGTGGCTGGGCCCCTTAGTAGGTGGCTTCTGAGCAAAGACAAGCCAGAACTGAGAGAGGGAAGCACGTAGGCCTTGGGGAAGGGCAGCGGGGCAGAGGGGACAGAGGGCTCACAGGCCCTGAGGCAGGACATTCCTGTTGGTTCGCAGTGTGGCAGGGCAGAGGGCGTGAAGGAGGAGAACTGACAGAGGGCCAGGGCCTGGGGGTTAAGTGCCCATTGGAAAGAGTTGCGCCAAGGATTGACATATGCTGGGTTTATATTTTAAATGCGTCCTTTAGAAAGTGGAGTTTGCCTGGACCAGGCCAGCCTCTTTCCCAGGACCGTGACATTTACAGGGTGGTAAATGGTCATCCGCTTGGTTTGAGGGCTCTTGAGCAAAGTGCAGGAAGCCTCCTGCATTCTCCCTGGGACCTCACTGCTTGAAGCGTCCGGGTTTGTTTTTCTCCTGCTCTCAGGGGATGGCGGAGGAGGGTTCTAAGGAAAGCAGGACAGTGGCGATTGCTCTGGCCAGTGGGGCCCAGTTGGTCAGAGCGTCATCCTGTACGCCGGAAGGTGACAGGGTCAATTCCCTGTCAGGGTGCATGCAGGAGGCAGCCAGGCTCTCTCTCTCCCTCTTCCCCTTTCTCTCTCTTCCTTTCTCTCTCTCTCTCTCTCTCTCTCTCTCTCTCTCTCTCTCTCTCTCTCTCTCTTTCTCTCTCTCTCTCTCATCAATTGAAAAAAGAAAAAGAAAGCAAGGTGGTGGGAACCCAGCCTGTCTGTGTTCACCCTGCCAAAAGCCTTCTGTGCTGACTGTCATTTTCAGCACTTTGCTTAGCCCTGTGCGTTTTGTACAGGCCCGTCTTACTGCCTAAGCTCTGAAGCAGGGGTGGGAATGTCCAGCCCGCGGGGCCGTATAAGGCCCAAGAAATCATTAGGTCTGGCCCTGCCAAGGCATTAGGGGTGAGTTAATTAAGTGTTTGACCAAATATAGGAGGCTAATCTTTAAGTTGATATTTTTGTATGGCCTGCGAATGATGCTAGAAATACCCAGATAGCCCTTGGCGTAAAAAAGGTTCCCCACCCCTGGACTAAAGGGGCCGGTTCATGTGCTGAAGATACGTGAGCCAGATCAGAGACGAGAAACCAAGATAATACCTGAGGCGGGGAGGGTGACATTTGGGGTTTTTTTTGTTTTTGAGATTTCAGAGGGATAGAGTAAGAAGATTGAGGTGGATGGAATGAAGGTAATACTTCATAGGGGAGCCAAAGGACCAGATTTTTGGCAGTGGGGTCTTCATCCGTAAGACCCACCTGGAGATGCAGGTCATCAGCGGTTAAGATGTGGGACTCAGCTCAATGCAGGACCTCTGCCTCTCCCAGAGGCAGCCCAGTGGGGCTCACCTAAGACAGAGGAAGGTTGGGCATTTGTGGGAAGTGACAAGCGCGTGGAGACAAAGAGATGTAAGTTTGACTCATGCTTCTCCCAAATGACGTTGGCCATGAATGGGGATAGCAAATGCCTGTGTCATAGAATGATGTTGAGATTAAATGGGATTCTGTATCATTAAGGTAATTAAACAAAGAGGCCATTGCACTGAGGAGGTGGCTCTAGTACTTTGTACGGTAGCAAACCAAAACCTAAGCCAGAATCAATGTACCAGAATCCAAGAAAATGAAACTTAAGAACAATCAATCACAAATTCGAATCAGGCTTTCCCAAATAAGATGACTACTTAAGTTGCAGCCACTCAAACCACTGCTTTCTCTGCTTCCGCCTCTTTTCTGTAAGAACCTGCCCCCGAGCTCCCATCCGTGGGGCGCTCCAACCACCTCCAGTTTGGTGCTGCCCAACACGATCCAGCATTTGCTCAAGTAAACTCTTGAAATTTTGAATGTGCCTCAGTTTACCTGTTAACAGCGTGCTACCCCAGTTCTACTAATGTTATAAGAGGAAGGGTTAGTGCTTTTTGTAGCATAGTCTTCCCTCTGTCTGGTCACATGATCGGGCTCCCAGAGCCAGTTCCATGAGCTCTTGACTCCTTTTTCTAGAAAGCAGTTCAGCCCACGGGTGGCCCGTGATGTAGGAAAGGTTAGGAGGTAGCGTTTCTACTCTGCAGACATTGTCCCCAGAGCTCTGGCCCTCATGTGGGGCCCTGTTACTGGACCCTCAGGCTGTGAACCTCATGGTCAGCAGAGATCCTGCCCCCGGACCCACTGCCTCACACTTGATTCCTCCCTCAAAGGCCCTCAGACCATATCTGTTTTACCCTCACCCCAGCCTTAAGCATGGGCTACCGGGGACTCTGCCTTGCCCCTTTCTGGATGGGGAAGGAGCTTGGGGACGTGAGTGGGAAGATGATGGAGGACAGGGAAGAAGCCCTTTCCAGAGGCTGGTCTTAGAAATGGTGCCTTTTTCATCAGGATTATGTAGAAGGATGCTAGCGGAGACAGGCTAAGAGCAGGCCTGAAAGACTGTCAGAGAAATAGTTAAAGGCGGGCACATTTGAATGAACCCGCTCCCCTTATCACCTTACGGCCCCTCTCCTGCCCTCAGCCCGCACAGCCTCCTCCTCTAACCCTCTCTGTGCCTCCGGATGGAGTTTGTGTAAGTGTGCCTCCTGATGCAGAGTTTTCCTCTTTCCCGCCTTTGTGAGTCCTGATTTGCTCAGTTCCTTAATCTTCATCTTCCTTGGTGGCCCTACACAAGGAGAGAGGGGGAGGCAGCACGTATGTAAAGCAGGTCGCACAGGGCCTCGTGGGAACATAAGTGCTTATGGTCGATTACGGGTGGAGGTGGCGGCCGTTTGTCACCCGTGCGCGGTCTGAGCGACGGGAGCGCTGTTCACACTCACGTTTCCTTTGCCTCGCAGTGCGGAGGCCAGATTAACGGCGGGGACATCGCCGTGTTCGCGTCGCGCGCCGGCCACGGGGTTTGCTGGCATCCGCCCTGCTTCATATGCACCGTCTGCAACGAGCTCCTGGTGGACTTGATCTACTTCTACCAGGATGGCAAGATCTACTGCGGCCGGCACCACGCCGAGTGCCTGAAGCCGCGCTGTGCCGCCTGTGACGAGGTCAGTGCGCTCCCGTGGGCTGACAGCCCTGCCCGCAGCCCGCTGTGGCATAACCCACACAGGGGAGTTGGGGGCGGGGGGAAGGGCTGTGGTTTTCTGCAGGGAGGAAAACCACAGGCCACTCCGCCTTCCTTTATTAACCCTTTTCTGAGAGAAGTCCCCCATCCCGGATGGCTGGCCTGCCCGGACATGGCCTGCATCACTGAACGCACAGCCTCGTGGACCCAGTGGGAAGGCAGTTGGTTTCTGTAGCTGAGGTGACTCCTGGCATTGGGTCCATTCAGAATGTTAAAGAAAAGAACCATGGTATCGTGCAGCTTTAGATTTCAGTCCAAATCCCAGGGAGTAATCATCAGTAATGATGTGCCACTTATATCTTTAAAAGCTCTGTTTTCTGAGCTTCAGAGGGACAATTTGGTTTGAGAAGAAAGCTGGTAGCATTATTTCATTTTCCCACAACTTATAAAAGTTCTGATGAGGATCCAGGAGGCAGATGGATACTCTGCCTGCACTCTAAGAACTTGAATTTGCTGCCCGGAGTAAGACAGCAGACAGGCCTGTGCTTCCTCCCGCCAGAAGTACATCCAGGTATGACCTGTGAACTGGAAGACTAGAACACCTCATTTAGCTCTAAAGGTTTGGAGCTTATAGGCTCAATAAAAAAAAAAAATTGTAAGAGTTTGGAGCAGAAAGGAGAATGTTCTAAAGCTGACCACTATGATGGGATTCATCGGGGGAAAGGTCTTGGACAGGGGTTTCCTCCTGCACAGAGTGGATTTTTGGTTCTCTCTACCCTGTAAGCAGAAATGTGGGACTGTATAAACAGTACTCTCTTTTTCAGCCAGAGTTCACTACCCCCTGGGCAATTCTTCCTTATAAATTGTCCAGGAGAGATTCGCTCTTCTAGGAGGAAGTTGATCAGCCTTAACTAATTTGGATTCTAATGCTAATGGCGATGTTCTAGAGACCCACTAGACAAGTAGTCGGGAAACAGTTCAGGTGCAGCTCGGTGATTCTAGGCAGCCGCTTTACCTTCATGCCTCAGTTTCCAGATCTGGAAATGAGTGCTCATAACACAGCATTATGTTACTTAATGGCAAATAGAACCACAGTGGTTCTCAACCTGTGGGTCGCGACCCCTTTGGGGGTTGAACGACCCTTTCACATGGGTCGCCTAAGACCATCGGAAAACATATATAATTACATATTGTTTTTGTGATTCATCACTGTGCTTTAATTATGTTCAATTTGTAACAATGAAAATACATCCTGCATATCAGATATTTACATTACGGTTCATAACAGTAGCAAAATTACAGTTGTGAAGTAGCAACGAAAATAATGTTATGGTTGGGGGTCACCACAACGTGAGGAACTGTATTAAAGGGTTGTGGCATTAGGAAGGTTGAGAACCACTGCTTTAAGAACTTTGAAATGTTTGTTTATTGAGATGTAATTCACAGAGCATAAGGTTCACCCCTTTCAAATGTGTACATTCAGTGATTTTTAATATAGTCACAGAGTTGTGCAACCGTCACTACTATCCAATTCCAGACCATTTGTATCACCACCCTTCCCCTCTCTGAAAGGAACTCTGTCTATTAGCACAAACGAACTTCCCTTTCCCCTTCGCCCAGCCCCTGGAAACCACTAATCTAGTCTCTGTCTCTCTGGGTTTACATATTCTAGACATTTTATATAAATGGAACCAGACAATGTGTGACCTTTTGTCTCTGGCTTCTTTCACTTAGCAGGATGTGCTCAAGGTTAATACAGGCTGTAGCCTATATCAGTACTGTATTCCTTTCCATGGTTGAATGATATTCAGTCGTATGCATATGTCACATTTTGTTTAGCCATTTTTCAATTGATGGACATTTAAGTTGTTCCCACCTTTAAACAATTATGAACAATGCTGCTATGAACATTCATGTACAAGTTTTTGTGCAGACACATATTTCTAGTTCTCTAGGAATGGAATTGCTGGGTCATATGAAAATTCTGTTTAATTTTTTGAGGGAATCCAAACTTTCTTCCAGAACAGCTACACCATTTTACATTCCCACTGTCAATAAATGAGGATTCCAATTTCTCCACATTCTCAACATTTATTGCTTATCTTTTTTATTATAGTCACCTGAGTGGCTGTAAAGTGGTTGTGCCTCGCATATCTTTAACAGCTAATAATGTTGAGCATCTTTTCATGTGTTTATTGGCCATTTGTGTATTTTTCTTTTTTTAAGAAATGTCTATTCAAATCCTTGGCCCATTTTTTTAGATTATATGATTTTTCTTTTCACTGTCGAATTGTAACTATTTATATATTGTGGATACTAGTTTCTTATCAGATACATGATTTGCAAGTATTTTCTCCAATTTTGTGGTTATATTTTCATGTTCCTGAAGATGTCCTTTGAAACACAAAACAATTTAACTGGGTAAGGCCCAATTTATATATTTTTTCTTTTGTTGCTTACGTTTTTAGTGTATCATACCTAAGAAACCATTGCCTAATGCAAGGTCATGAACATTTATACCTGTGTTTTCTTCTGGGTATTTTATAGTTTTTGGCTCTTTAGGTCTTTAATCCCTTTGAGTTCCTATAGTGTGTAGTGTGAGGTAGGGGTTCTGATTCATTGCTTTGCATGTGGCTCTCCACTTGTCCCAGCCCCATTTGTTAAAGAGACTATTCTTCCCCAATTAAATGTCCTTGACACCCTTGTTGATAATTAATTGGCCATAAATGTTTGGGTTTATTTCTGTACTTCCAATTCTATTCTCTTGATCTATGTGTCTATTCTTATACCAGTACCCACTGTCTTGATTACTGTAGTTTGTAGGAAACTTTTAAATCTATGCTTTAGATTTTTTTTTAAATATATTTTATTGATTTTTTTACAGAGAGGAAGGGAGAGAGATAGAGAGTTAGAAACATCGATGAGAGAGAAACATCGATCAGCTGCCTCCTGCACACTCCCCACTGGGTATGTGCCCGCAACCAAGGTACATGCCCTTGACTGGAATCGAACCTGGGACCCTGGAGTCTGCAGGCCGATGCTCTATCCACCAAGCCAAACTGGTCAGGGCTGCTTTAGATTTTTAAAAACTCTACATTAGAGGTCAAAACACAAATGCTCTGACGGCAACAGATATTGCACATGAAGGTGGCTCATGAAGGCAACAGTGAGTGGTGACGAGTAGGACCAAACTGAGAACTCACCACTCACCTGGGAGCAGCAGCGCCTCTTCCCACCCCAGCTACTCAGCTACACGGGGACATACACTGCGTGTTGCCACATATGATATACTCAAAAGATAAACCAGGATTCCAGGTGTTTATATAGCATTTCCCACTTTTTAAAAATACTGTTATAGGTCAGGTAAAACAGATACGTATGTTCAAAGTGCCCATGAGCTGTCAATTTTGGTTCCTACTCTATATTCTTCATATTTAGAACCTTCTTTCTCATTAAAATGTGGTTAAACTAATTACAAGGCCAGACTGAAAACCGTGTTTAATTGTACTTCAGGCAAATCCAAATGTGGGAGCTGATTAGATATAGAATGAGCATATTCTGACCCAATTCTGTTTAACAACTTGTCAGGGGGGACAGCTTTCCCACCCTTCTAGTCTGGGCCCCTCCCTGTCCTCATGTAATGTGCATTCTCCTGGCCGGGTCCTAACCATCCGGCTTCCCCATCTCCAGATCATCTTCGCCGACGAATGCACCGAAGCCGAGGGGCGGCACTGGCACATGAAACACTTTTGCTGCTTCGAGTGCGAGACGGTGCTGGGCGGCCAGCGCTACATCATGAAGGAGGGAAGGCCCTACTGTTGCCACTGCTTCGAGTCCTTGTATGCGGAATACTGCGACACCTGTGCCCAACACATAGGTGAGGCAACGCATGGGGCTCAGCCCGGTCCTCCTGGGACTGGACCTTCACTGTGTCTGGTGTCATTAGAATCCCTTTGGGTGCAAATGGTAGAAACCCAACTCATACTGGCGTAAGTGAATAACGGGACTCTCTTGGCGTACATTACTAGAAAGGCCAAAGAGTATGTTGATCAGGTAGAGATGGATCAAGGGTTTAAACAAACTCTTTTTCTCCCTCTGTGTCTCTCCTTGGCTTGCCTTCTGTTGGCATCCTTCGGGAGCAAGCTGCCTTCTCATGGTGGCCACGATGACCCTCCAATTATGTGCATCTTAGCAATTGTATCCTGTAGAGGAGTGGGGCTGTGCTTTTCCAGTATCCAAGTCAGGTTCTCTATATAGGAGCCCCATAGGTCCTGGTCTGGTCATGTGTTCTGCTCTGGAAACAAGAGAATAAGGGCTTCCTATTGGTCTGCCTGAGTCATAGCCCCACCCCTGGGTGGGACATGTGATGTACAGCCCTGCTACCAAGGGAAGGGGAGGGGCTCAGAAGGAAAATATAAACAGATGTCTTCCACTGCCTCCCTGGAAAACTCGAGTGTTAATAGAGGGAGAAACCAAAGCAGCTTTCTTGGTAGGATAGTCAAGAAAACCAAATGGCTTCTGGCAAGCATGTCTGAAGAAAAAAAAAAAAGGCTGACCCAGCCAAATACAAAGCAAGAAAACCTCAAATAGCCCATAAGCTATAAACCCCCCAAATAAGTGGCAGTTCTGAGATGGGGAAAGTCATTTTCCCTCTGCACATACTAACCAATTTGTTCGCCCTCCAATGCCATTCCGGTCATCTGTGGCTTCTTCCTTCAACTTGCCTGTTCTGGCACCTTGAGAAAGAGCTGCCCTTTAAAAAGAAAGAAAAGCTGGCCGGGGATGAAGGTCTGTGAGGCCAGCAGCTGGTCTTCCTGTGGTTTGTGCAATTCCAGGCAACGTGCTCAGACGCTGCCAGCGCCTCACCAGCGGTGGGTCGATGGGGAGGAAGTCAGAGATTTCATCAGGGACAGGGAGAAGTGGCTTTGTCTCCCCCGTTCAAGCATGTCAGACTCAAAGGCTAACACGGGCCAACTAAACGAGGCATGCTGCCCGTGGGCCGTGAGTTTGACATGCTTCCCTGGTTCATCAGAAGTGATGCATTCAAATATAAAATCAGCTAGTCATTTGGAGGGTTTCGTGCGTGGACAGAAATCACAGCTTTGTGGACAAGGCACCTACGTGTGCTCAGTCCTTTGTTGTCGAGTGTCCGTCCCAAACGGCCTGCTGCTGGGAGGCCTTCCCAGGCTGGCGGCCTCTCCAGGCCCAGGGCTGAGCACTGCTGTGCTGACCTCTGCCCAGCAGCATTCCCTCCTGGGGCCTGAGGGCCGCCCAGGTTCCTTCCCCAGCCCTAAACACCTCACTCTCCGGGGCCTGGTGCCAACCAAGAATCCCACAGTTTTCACTCTCACGAGGTCAGAGCAGTCAGAGATAAGCTTCCTTGAACGGTAAGCGTTAGGGAATGGAGACCCTGGTTTGGACAAGTGTCTGGGCCCGTGAGGAAGGGCGGGGGTGGGACGCTGTCAGGGGAGACAGAGCACCTACCTGCCCCACATTCTCGCTGTGAGTCTGAGTCTGCAAGTAGGTGCTTGCTCAAGTGAGAGGGGCTGAGTGTACAGAAAACGTGCTCACAGCAGCAATGCCCCTTCTCATCAGTGTTTCTGCGTCTTCTGTCCCTTTCCTGGGGGGCGTCAGAGCCGCTCCAGACACTGCCACTGCGGATTGCGCTCAGTGGATTGCGCTCAGTGGCACGAAGAGAGAAAACCTGACCATGCCCACAGCCGCCGCCCCTCAGAAGGCCCCGCCTTCTCTCTTCACTTCTAGCTATTCAAGAACGGTGATTGGCGTTCCCTCTTCTTTCCTCCTAAATCCATAAAAAGGCGAGCGTGTTTTACCAGAAAAGAGCTCCGCGGCCTGCAGAACTGTCTCTGCTGCGTTAAAACGCTGCCCCTGATTTTTTTGTTCTAGGCCCACTTTTCTGTAAAATGTAATTTCCTGCGGCGGTGAAGGCATGCTCTGTGTATCATGCATACCACAGTCCCTGGTGCTTTACTCTGACCACATTCTGCAAATATTCCGTATTTATATAGCTGCTCAGAGCAGACCTGCATCAGGCCACCGTTGCTAAGGCAACGGTACTTTTGCCTGCGCACAGCAAATAGTCCTGTAAACAGACGGCGGCTGTGGCAGCAGTAGACACATCGCCCTCAGAGAAGTACTTAAAGGGCTTAGAGGGGAGAGAAAAGAGCACTTACTTCCCTGGACCGGCAGAGCCCTTTCCAGATGTTCAGAGTTCAGGGGCAGTTCAGGGCACCATGTGACTGTCGCTGATGTTTATCAGGGACCACGTTCGGCTGTGGCTGGGCCACTTTGTAACACGCCTCCCGGCCCCTCCGCACAGAGACCCAGCCTTCTGCGAGGCCCCCACCCCCAGAAGGAGGCCCCTGCTGCCTATCTGAGCACGTTTCCTCGCAGAAGCACAGAGAAGCACGGAGAAGCGGGTGGAGGACAGGCCTGTGACCCAAGGGGAGGCTGCAGCTGCGGGGATCTGTGCTGAGCAGGAGCCCACAGTGAGGACCCAGGGCAGCCGGGAGGGCAGCTCGGGTCCCTGGAGGAGAGGAGTGAGAGAGGCGGAGAGACCAAGTCAGCCTGAGTTCGCCCTTGGCCTGCGTCCAGGCAGTGGCCATCGGAGCCAAGAGGGAGACAGGCATTAAGACCTAAAAAAATACAAGACGAGAATAGTTACAGGCAGGGGTCTAAGCATTCTCTGCATATTAACTCCGTCAGTCCCCACAACAACCATGAAGTAAGTGCTACAATCACCCCTGTTCCCTTAGGGAGAGACGGAGGCACGGAGAGATGGAGCCATTGCCTAGGGCCATGGTCGGCAAACCACAGCTCGAGAGCCACATGAGGCTCTTTGACCCCTTGAGTGTGGCTCTTCCACAAAATACCATGTGTGGGCGCACATACAGTGCGTTTGAAATTTCGTGGCCCATGCGCAGAAGTCGGTATTTTGTGGAAGAGCCACACTGAAGGGGCCAAAGAGCCGCATGTGGCTTGCGAGCCGCAGTTTGCCGACCACTGGCTAGGGTCACACAGCCGGACAGCGGCAGAATCGGATTTGAACCCAAGCTGATGGAGCTCGGCATCTTCACAGCCACTGGAATGGCAGGGTCTCGTTCACCTGCCAGGGTGCTGCCCACCCCGTCGTCCTGCCTCAGCCAGTTCTCACTCCTGTGGGGAACACGGTGCTGAGTGGAAGCCAGCTGTCCAGTGTCCCACTCCCCTTGGGGTGGCCCTGGTGGCGGCTCCTGTCCCTCTAACAGTCCCCTCTGGGTCCCTAGGGCTGACTCCTAAAGAAACCAAGACCCTTGGCTTGGGGAGGAGCCTAGCAGAGAAGCCTGTGCCTTACGCCTCACTCTCCTGGGCCCGGGGCCGGGAAGTGAGGGTGCACCAACAGGGCAGGAGAGCTGCCCAGTGTTGGCCTTCTCTTTTCTCTCGGTTTTGTTCGCCGCCTCTCTGGACAAGGCTCTGAAAGTTATTCCTGCAAAGGCTTAGGATTCTTAACCACCAAAGGGGAAGGATCATGTCAGTACTGCCTTTCAAAAAGACCTTCATGTCAGACCCCAGAGGTCCCCTTCCTTCCCACAGCGATTGTGGGGCTGCGTTCTCAGCAGGCTGTCCCCACAGGACGGGCCCCCCGCAGCTCTGGCTTTCATTCTTCAGCCACTGTCATACTCCAGCCCCAGGACTCCTCTTGGCCGGGTGCAAGTCACCTACCCACCCTGAACCAGCCACTGGGCTGGGAGACACGTTCTTTTCCTGGCCCGTACTGGGTCCAGGTGTAGCTTTGGGCGGCCCCAGGGTGGCAGGGAGATGGGGCCCCATGGGGAGACTAAGTCCTATAACAGGAAGAAGGCAGAGCGCTGAGAGCAAGGGCAGCGGGGCTGTGGGCGGGTCTCACACAGTTGTGAGGAGACTGTGTATACCAGCGCCGCCCGGGACCAGGACAAAGTGGGTACCCTTCCGAGTGGTATACACTGGCGGAGGGATTCAATTCACCCACCAATTCAGCATATGGAGAGCCCTTCGGCGCCCCGGCCACGCTCCTGGGGGAAACAGAGAAACGGGATAATGGTCCTAGAGCGTCGCGGCTGTGGAGGGAGAACTAGTGAACAGGTGCACGTGTGCAGCCCGATGGCAGGCAGATGATTCTATAAAGAGAAATGCAGCAGGTGTGGGTGGGGGGTGACGGAGAGGTGTCAGTGGGGTGGACAGGACGACTTCCCCAAGGAGCTGACCTTTGCACAGACCCCTAAGCAGAGTGAAGGAGGTGGTACCCATGTCGTGGGAAGGCAAGATTTCCTGGGTAGATCCCATCTGTGACTCCAGCTGTTTCACATTCGGCTGGTTCTCTAGCCTCCTGTGCCTGTTTTCTCATCTGAAAAAAATGGAAATGATGTGAGGCACCTCCTCATGCCCTGGAGGGGTTGTATGAGTTTACATCTATGCAAAGCATTTGTCCTCCCTTGGTATCATGATGCTGTTTGTCTGGAGAAGTGTGCCCCGGGCAGGATTCATGGCAGGCCATTCTGACCTAGTTTCTCTACTCAGAGCAAATGAGTTACAAGGAGCCGCCTGGAACTAGAAGGAGGCGCGGGTGATAGGACATGAGTACCATTTACGAGGTGCCTGACCACGGGTGTAGTCACATGGGATCCTGCCACAGGTGGAGCCCCGGCCACACCAGCATGTGTACGTCTCACAGTGCAGTGAGAAGTCTGAGCCGCTCGTCAGCCTCTCCCATGTCTTCTCTCCTCAGGGATCGACCAGGGCCAGATGACCTACGACGGCCAGCACTGGCACGCCACCGAGACCTGCTTCTGCTGCGCTCACTGCAAGAAGTCCCTCCTCGGGCGGCCCTTCCTCCCCAAGCAGGGCCAGATATTCTGCTCCCGGGCCTGCAGCGCCGGGGAGGACCCCAATGGCTCGGACTCGTCCGATTCAGCCTTCCAGAATGCCAGGGCCAAGGAATCCCGGCGCAGCGCCAAAATCGGCAAGAACAAGGGCAAGACGGAGGAGCCCGTGCTGAGCCCGCACGGCCAGCTGCAGGTGAGCTCCAACCGGCTGTCCGCCGACGTGGACCCCCTGTCGCTGCAGATGGACCTGCTCAGCCTGGCCAGCCAGACGCCCAGCCTCAACCGGGACCCCATCTGGAGGAGCCGGGACGAGCCCTTCCATTACGGGAACAAGCTGGAGCAGGGCCAGCCACAGAGCCCCCTGCAGCTGCTCAGCCAGTGCAACATCAGAACTTCCTACAGCCCCGGGGCGCAGGGGGCGGGCGCCGCGCCCGACATGTGGGCCCCGCACTTCAGCAACCCCAAGAGGAGCTCGTCCCTGGCCCTGAAGGGGCACGGCGGCAGCTTCATCCAGGAGTGCCGAGAGGACTACTACCCGGGAAGGCTGCGGTCCCAGGAGAGCTACAGCGACATGTCCAGCCAGAGCTTTGGCGAGGCCCGAGGCAGCATCCAGGTCCCCAAATATGAGGAGGAGGAGGAGGAGGAAGGGGGCATGTCCTCTCAGCAGTGCCGGACCCGCCGTCCACTCAGTTCCCTGAAATACACCGAGGACATGACGCCCACGGAGCAGACCCCTCGGGGCTCCATGGAGTCGCTGGCCCTGTCTAACACCACAGGTAGGTTCTGTTCCCCGGCAGGCACACGGCCTGGATGGCCTCGGGGTGACCTGATGCCGGTCCTCAGGGTGTGCATGCTGTCCCACTGTGCGCCCCCGCCAGCAGGTCACTGGGGAAGATGCACCCAAGTCTCAGAAGGCTTCTGTGACTGGGTTCCCGAGAAGCAGAGCTGAGGCAGACATCCGGGTGCCTGTGACGTGTGGAGGGTGCTTCCAAGGAGGGGGCGGGGGGGACACAGGACAGGGAGGGGAAGGAGCCAAGTGAAGGGTGCTGTGGGGACAGGAGCCAGCGGGGCGCTGGGGATGGTGCCACCCAGTTGGTTCCCTCTTGCAGAAAAGGGGCTGATGTTGGCACCACCATGTCAGTCGGTCATTGGGTTTGGGCTCCTGGCAAGCGACTGGGACACGAGGCTGTGGGTGTGGCATCGGGCAAGGCAGCTCCTGTTGGTCAAAGGCGACATCCAGGAGGAGGGACAGCTGTGAGCTGGAGGCCATGCTGCCCAGACTCTCATTAGGGAGCTGGTTTTAGTGTGCAGACAACAACAAAAGAGGCATGGACAGAGCTGCCAAGGGCAGACGTGGAGAGGACAGAGAGAGAGAGGGAACCCGATGCCCACCCTCTCCAGCCACAGTGGCTGGTTCGTGTGCGTGTGGCGACGTGGAGATGCTCCCTAGGCTGGCGCTACTCCGAGGGCCTGAGGCCCAGGCTGGCCGCAGTGCCCAGCGAGATAAGGACTAAAAGGACACTGTTTAGGGACTCGTAGAGCAATCTGACAACACGCAAGTACATGTTTGTTGTGCTCATTATGGGCCCAGCTGCCCACCAGCGAGGGTGTTGCAGAACCCGTGGTGTGTTGCAGGAGTTGCATGTGGCATTGCTGTGCATCAGTCCTGTTCAGGAAGGCACCCATCAGTCCACAGCAGATTCAAAATAAGCTGGTCCGTCACCACGTGTCGCTTGAGAAGTACCGCTCTGAGATACACTGAGCGTATCTGCTCCTGGTGGCCTGGCCCCGAGGAGGGAGACCACATCTACCGGGTATAGCGGATCCCACAGCCCAGTGAGTCTGGGTGGAGACCGGTAAACTGGCGCAGGTGAACTCCCGCTGCGTGTTGCCACATGCAGTTATTTATTCACTCGGCTAGTGACACAGCTCTTGCCATGTGCCAAACATTGTTCTAAGCACTTTATAAATATTCACTCGGTTAATTATCACAACCCAGTGAGGGAGGAAGACTAATAAATTCTCATTTGAGAGTTGAAGAAACTGAGGCAAAGAGAGGCTCAGGGACTTGACCCGGCTTTTCAAAGGTGGGGAGGGCTTGAACCTGTGCACATGACCCCATGTGACTCCTAATCACCAGGCTGCAACCTAACATGAATCCATGCTGTCAAATCTCCCACTTGCTCAGACAAGGTAAGCTGTGCACTTGCCCTGGCTGGGTGGCCCAGTCGGTGGAAGCATCATCCCATGCACCAGGGGGTGTGGGTTTGATTCCCAGTCAGGGCACATACCTAGGTTGTGGGTTCGATCCCAGGTCAGGGTGAGTGCAGGAGGCAGCCAATCCATGTATCTCTCTCACAAGATGTTTCTCTCTCTCTCTCTCTCTCTCTCTCTCTCTCTCTCTCTCTCTCTCTCCCCTTCCTCTCTCTCTAAAATCAATAAAAACATATCCTTGGGTGAGGATTAACAAAAGAAAAAGAAAAACCAAGAGAATGAGTGTTCTCTTCTTGTGGAGATAGCTTTAAAAAAATTACATTTTTTAAAAATGTGAAATCTAGGTAAACTCTCTGCTAACAGGCAGAACGGGTCTCTGAGTTGCGGGATGTCTACGCGTGTGTTTTTAGCTGCTGTCCCCCTCGAATGCTTCCACACGTGTGTTCTCACTTGTCCTAGAGGACAAATAGCACACATCCTCACCCCCGTGTTTCAGATGGAAAAACGAGGGGCCTTGGTGACTAAGCACCTTGATAATGTCGTAGAAGTGAGCAATTAGTGCGGAACGATGACTGCCTGGCTTCCAGCCTGGCTTGCGCTGTTCTCCGAAGATTGATGTGCTATAATTGTGGAAGAGGCCAGGAGATAAGTAAGGCAGCCTCCAAAGCAGCGCCTCAAAGCGACACCACCTGCATCCCAATCATTAGCTGCTTGATTCAAACATGGACTCCAGGCCCCCAGCCCGCCCCCCCCCCCCCAGCAGAGCCTGCAGAGGTGGGACCCCGGAGCCTGCGATTTAACCAGCTCCCTGCTGAGAACTCTTGTTCCTGGGTTTTGTCTGTTCTTATTTTCTTGTCCTCACCCTGGAACTTACGGGGCACTCAGATCTGGGAGTTGGGGAACGTTGGAAAGGCCACGCGGGTACATTTGAAGACCATATAGTCTCTGATCTTAAGAAAGAGGCAGGGACTTTAGACCTGGGGTTTTCTATGGCTCCTTGGGCAAAGCAACTCGTGCCCCTCTGTCTCTGAGCGTTGGAAAGCAGCGTGAGCCATGTCTGATGCAGCCGAGAAAAAGTCCTCAGAGCAGCGCTGCCCAGCATGGTAGCCACTAGCTACATGTGACCACTGAAATTTGAATTAACAAAAATTAAATGAAATTATAATTTCAGGCCATCAGCTGCACTGGCCATATTTTAACTGCTCAATAGCAATGAACTAAATTTCAAATCTCATTTCTTTTTAATCAGTTTCAATTTCAATAGCCACCTGTAGCTAGCAGCTACCCTGTTGGACAGCACAGGCGAGGGAGGTGAGCAGCGAAGGAGGGAGGATGGACATGCTCACAGGAGAACTGGCTTTTCAGAGTCCCGGTTCATTAAGGGTTTGGAGCACCAGTTACAGAGTCACTTCGGGGTCCAGATCCAGCTTCATCAGTGTGAGCTCTGTGACCTGGAGTGAGTCACTGCAAGTCTGTTAGGTTCCGTCTCCTCGGCCAAGACAGTTAGTGAATAATCATACTTCCTCTCGAGGGTTTTTGTCAGAATTAAATGATAATGCATTTAAAATCACTAACATAGTTCTTGACACATCTGACCCTTTAAATGGTTACCTGGTACCTTTTTATTTCTGTTGTTTCTCTCTCGTCTCAAACATGCCAGTGCATAATTTGGCCTCTAGACCTGTTTTAGCGGCTGCAGCTCCCTTGTCCACCAGCCGTGCACATCCGCACGTATGTCCAGGTGTGAAGATGCTCCGGTGGGCTCTCTTCCTAACCAGCGTGGGAGGAGCGTGGAGACAGGGGACGAGAGAAACCCATTCTGTGCTCCTGTGTTTCCGTGGATCTGTCAGACATAGCCTAGAAGATTGCCACTAGTATTCGAAACACTGCTTCACCGCGTGTCACGGGAGCAAACCCTACACTGTACGTAGCAGCCACCAGGGCCGCGGTGCGGACTAGCGGGGAGTCGGTCTTTGTTGCCAGCTCGCACTGTTGCATTTGGGTTTTGCCAGAAAACTCAGCAGTCTTTTGAGAAGGCAGTGTCTGAACTGCCGGAGCATCTTTAAACCCTAGAATCTCAGCCTGTGAGTAACACGTACGTGTCACAAAGGGCTTAGTGGCAACACCTTGATCCTTTGATGAAAGCTAGATTTCAGGATAATGGATTTTCCCCCATGGTCAGCAACTTACCTTATTGAATACGTCTATAATGTTTAATCTGGCATGAAGCATGATCTTTCTGTGGGCACTGTTTTTCCTTAGAACAGATCTGGAAAAACAGATCGGCCCAGTGGCATGCCAGCCTCAGATGTGGGCTGTGGCACCTCCCGGTTTGGCCAGAACTGGGAGTGTGCGTCCCTCCTTGGAAAACACAGTGTATCCCTACGTTCACAGGGAGTGAGTCAGCGGGCACGGTCACCCCTTACACAGCGCCAGGGGGAGCCTCACAGAAGCCATTCCCTGAATTCAACTCCAAAGTAGCCTGCAGCCTGCATGATCACGGTATTTGAAACAGTAATAACATCCATGACAGCTAATATGACTTGGTGTTCACTGTGCTCTCGGTATAGTTCTAAGCACCTTACAGTATGTGGACTAACTCACCACCTCCCTGTGAGGTAGGTAGAGTTGTTAGGGGCCCATTTTACAGGTGAAATAGGTGAGACACAGGCCACAGGTGTACGTGGAGGAGGAGAACTCAAACATGGGTGCTCTAGCTCCAGAGCTTGTGCCCTCAGCCACGACCCCATGGCAGCAGTGAGTGATAACGGTGACAGTAACTGATGATAATCACTACAGACCACTGACTGTGACCTGACATGCTAATGACTTCATCGGTAACATAACCCTCCCAACAGCCCTGTGAGATACGGCTGATTATTACACCCATTTTACAGATGAGTACACTATAGTTCAAAGAGTAGTCACCTCCCCTCAGTCACCACTGATGGCCAGGACCTGACCCTGGATGATTGTTACTATCTATTAGATAGGTCTGCAAAACCCTTGCTCTTCACCTCTCTGGCGTGCATCCTCACATGAAGGGTCGTGAGCCCACTCAGGATAATTGTACCGTGGCTCAATCGAAAGCGACAGGACTCCTTTTCCTGTGGCAGCAGTTTGCTGAAGTGTCTGTGTGGCTCTGGCAGGGCTAGAGGGAAACTCGAGAGCACAAGTGTCCAGTGAGAGCTGAATGACAAGAAGCAAAGGTGGCAGTCCCAGACGGTGTGCCCGGTCAGAGGCCAGAAAGACAGAGGAGACACGTGCAGGTCTGGCCCCAGGCAGGGGCAGCAGTGCAGAGGAGACTAAGGCTGTGGTGCAGGGCAGGGGCATGGTTCATGTCACAGGGCCAGGTGTAGGGAGCTAATACAGTGTTAAGCCTCGGACTGACCTGTGGGCAAAGTCACAAACAATTCCCAGCTTAGAGGGCACAGTCCTCTTAGCATAATTAGGCTTGACCTTATGAGGCTCCCTAGATCTTATCTGGGAAGCTAATGGGCTGAGGAAGTGCAGGAAGTATAATCATGGTGTAAACAAGTGAAACTCACAAGAACAGTGTAAC